TATTCAGTAAACTTTGACCTATTATTTACCATAATTGTCCAAAATATTTGTGGTATGTACATCTTGGATTCCGAGATATCCACAAAAATAACAATAGTATTTAGTAATAATAATGATTGTTGTGATTATGCTATCAGCGCTAGACCACCGAACCTTAAAAGAGCACACAGGCCTGGTCGAGATTTGTAGGCGAGACCAATCGCATCTTAAGCGGACACCATACTCCTAAACAGGAAGGCCCAAACATGATAGTCTGATAGCAAACATTTTCTTTGCCACGGTTATTTCTAGTTTAAACCCTCATTCTTGAGCCTATTATGACAATTTGGTAATGTCAATGTATTTTATAACTTGCGACTTTGTAATCGGTATGGGTCATAATTCGCCAAACCTTCAAGCGGCCTGATAAGGGTACATTATGCGCTCGATGCTGTAAACGCATAACACATTTGCTTGGTTTAAATGTCAATCATTCTACGGGCAAAATGTGCCCTCTAGCTTTTATTCGACAGATAAAAGTGCGACCGACGGAAAACCAGGAATGTGAACAGTATGTTGGTCAACAACCAGTAGAGTTAAAAGCATGCTCAAGCAAATGAGTGCCTTGCAACGATTCTGATACGCAGTAGCCATAATTTAACAAACGTTCATTAAAATTGCTTTGCACGTCGCCGAACGAGAATTTATTCTGAATATGAGCACAGGAAAACGCAATATCAGGAAACGAAAATAAACAGATGAACCAGTCAAAATCGTTCTCATCGTTTCGGTAACAAACTCGTATCTGAAAAAGCACAGTTGCGTTTACTTTCAGTGCTGATCAATCTTTAGCCGGGCGATTCTTTCATTTTGCTACCCTGAAAAGCTGAAGTTCTAGATTGTAAGTAAATCTACCACAGCTCGGGTTACTCCGATCACGGAAAAGCCATTGTGTAATGGCCCAGCAAAGCAAGAAGCATGTACCATACCACGTGCCATATAAAACAGAAATAGGATAACAAGCTGTGTATGTTTAGACTCTTAGGCGGCTTTCTCCCACACAAGCATGAGTCGGCCACATGGTTATATCCAGTAGCGAGGGGACGAATTACAGAAACCTTTGCTGCCAAATAAGACTGCAGACTTGACACGGACAAATGTTCTTCTGAACACGATACGGCGAGGAAAGTGCACCAAGTGACTGGTCGAATTCTTGCATGTGACCGCGTTTTATGCAGACATACGTGACTTTTCATCACAGATGAATCACTTGATAGGTAAAACCTAAATAACATCCTCAGCCGCTTATTTCAAGCGGTGATAGCCCAATATTCATCATAATTTAAGTAGCCGTAGTCCTGTCCACGACATGGACACGCACCTGGTAGCATACAGGTTGTTTTAACGTATACTTGAAATACACATCTACCAACGTTTGGGCATATTTATCGACGATAAAGAGAATGGATTACCAGATTTCACTGGTTTCATCAATCCGTGACCTTTTCATGGTCTAACACTTATTTGCCAATAAAGAACAGACGTCAAACCGTCGAAATTAACATCCAACTGCATGCGATTGGACGACAACGTCGGTCATAGGTAGCTAACATCTATTCACCAATTGATTCGGTCTACCAAATGAACACGTCACACATAGGTTGCTAAATAAAGTAACTATCCTGGTTTACTGAACCACAGTCCCATTCAGCCCGCGAGTATTGTTTCGTCAGGGAAGCGGTGAAAAACCACAATGAATAACCGGTTTCAGTTCAGTTTTTACCATACCCTTGGATTTTATCCATAAACTACCAACTTCGACAAATATCCCTCACCGTCACAAACCATCTGGTCACATCCGTAACACATGCCCAACAATCGTGGAGGTCGATTATTAGTTCTAGAGAACGATAGTGACTGAACATCGACAATATATATTTATCCCGTCCCCCTAGCGACCAAATCGATGCAGTGTCCGCTAGGTGAGAAACAGCTACCAGAATAACAAAATTTGTCTACTTTCTCTACTACGTTCCCAACCGGGGCGAGGTTACGGCTAGAACAACCCGATCTTGTAGCAATAATTTTCACTCTGAAGGTGCAAGACACATACCGAACATGGCTACGCTGGCATTCAAGCTATCCATAAAAGCTTGTAACTTACCTGGATCTTCACTTAGTGGCGTCATGTTGTCTGCATACTCTAGATCAGACAGTCTGCCACCTGGGATTAAATAGATACCACAATCCTCGCAGGAAAATATGTCTGTTTCAAGAATAAAATCTATGACAAAGTTAAATAGGAACGGAGAAAGAGGGAGGGAAACCATGTGGAACACCCAAGTGGTGTTCTGTATTGTAGTGAACTCGGGTGAAGAAGTGCCGTAAGCTCGTACTCGACTTCAGCGATTAGTATAGAGGGATTGTAATATTGAAATCAACTTCTCGGGCACACCTTTGAGAGAAAGGCATCGCCATAGTTTAGAGCGGTCGACTAAGTCAAAAGCGGCTTTCAGATCCAGGAAGATAGAGATGGTGGGTAAACGAAAGGAGTGTCTGTGTTCTAGAATTTGCCGAATAGGGAAGATGTGGTCGATACAACCTCGGCCCGGTCTAAAACCAGCCTGGTTCTCCTGTGCGCACCGTTCACGTGCGGCAGAAAAGCGACAGAGTATGATGCCGGCGAGAAGTTTAGAGGAAAAGTTGAATAAACTAATTCCTCTGTGGTTTTCACAAGAGGACCTGTCGCCTTTCTTGTGGATCGGTATGATCACCGATTCACACTATTCAGTTGGAACCTCTTCCCTCTCCCACACTGAGCCCAGGAGTTTTGGTAACTCTGAAACCAGTGCTAAACCTCCATCCTTAAAAAGTGATGGAGAGAGCCCGTCTGGGCCGGAGGGCTTATAGCTTTTGAGGTAATTTATTTCATGGGTAACCTCCATTTCAGATGAAGGACTGATGTCAACTGGCAGTATTTGCACAGTTGAAGCGGGTACAGGGAGGTCTTGTGTTGACGGGGGACAGCTGAACTATGTCTTAAAACTTTCTACCAACGTTCAAGACGGCGTTGCTGAATACAAATATGTGTGCCGTCAGACTTCTTAATTACCTCACTTACGCCTACTTTCCTTGGACCTGTACCCCTAACTAATCGTAGGATATTGCGACTATTACCGATAGCCACAGCCTTCTCCATCTCTCTACACATCCCTGCCCGCCACTTCTCGCGGTCATTCCTCAGACTTCATGAGCTGGCGTTTAAGGCACTTGAGCGCTTTGTCGTATTTTTAAATCCGAAGGAATGGCTTTGCGAGCATCCATCAAAGCAATCGAGGCCGAAGAGATCCACCGTTTTTATTTCATTATGCGCCAGAATCTGACATTGTTTTGATTGACATTTGGATCGCTCCCGTGACTGACGTGATTTCCTCTTCGAAGGCCAATTTGCAACCAATGCTTACAATGTATTGTGAGCATCCGTTTTGGTGGCTTTTCTGCGGTTGTTACTTCGCGTAGGGAGAATCTCGCTCGTAGCACAGTATGGTCTGTGTCTACGGGTGTTGACGAGTAGGAGCGGCAGTCTTCAGTGGATCCTCGCCAGTGGTAACTGATGGCGATTTGATCGATTTGAGTCCAGCGCTGTGAAGAAGTTGGCAGTGTCCATGTAAGGCGGTGTCGTTTTTTGTGCGAGAAGTTCGTGCTTGGCAGAAACAGTCCGTGGTCAGCACAAAGTTGGAGTAGGCGTTCTCTGTTGTCAGTCCGATTGGCTGGGATTGTATGTGAACCACCAAGTTTCCTCTCTGATTGGTCTGGGGATCTCACTTGAGCATTAAAGTCTCCAGTGACTACCACGATATCCGTTGACCGAGCGCTTTGGAGAAGCTGAGAGAGGTCGTTGTAGAACTCATTCTTCATTTCTGGCGAACTGCAATCAGTTGGTGCATACGCGGATACGACGAGTAAGCATCGGCGCTTCGTTCCTTAGTTGTTGTTCCGTACTGAACTATCTAGACGTACAGTGTGAAAATGGGATCCAGTCGAGAAGTGAACGCTCGGCCTTGACACTCAGCGTAATCCCGACACCAGAAACACCGCGAGCTTCGAATGCCGAATCGCCTGACATACGGAGAATGAAGTGTGAGGATGAGGTTGGATCTGGAGATCGTAAGGTGATGCTTGAATCGTACAAACAGCATACATCGAAGTTCAAAGTTCCAAGGGTTTTAGCTAAAACTGCTTGTTGACTGACTGCGGCTAAATGTAAAGGAGATTTCAAAAATCTAATAGCCTCTGAGTGTTTGGCCTCATTAGTTGAACGCGGAGTTGTATACCATGGGTGGCGCAAACAGGATACATTTCCAAAGGTTCGGGAGTGAGAAGGGAAAGTGGACTGATGAGAACGAGGATTTTCCAAATGGGCACTTAAGACTTTGGGGCACGAGTTACTTCGCGGTAGCTCAAACCAAAGATGGATTTTTCTTTGGGAACATTAACAGGAGGCAGTGGGGCGTAGATCCAACGCGGGAGCGTGACCTAAGCACTCGTTTGGGAGCTTCTGGAGACCTGTCATGCTATGCCTTTGAATTTCGGTTGAGTGTGTTGTTCGCTGGTGGGCTGGTTGACCGTCCACTTTTCATGCCCCGAATGAGACAAGCGGAAAGTAGACGGCCAGCACTTTATTGGCTGGGGGCTGCATAGCTTCGGCGGGCGGTAGCTATCCAGTGACTCAAAAGTGTGTTCGGTAAGGCGACAATAAATTAGACTTGTTCTATGGGCCAAACTAAAACGAGTAACCACAAGCAATTGTATTGGTCACATTGGAGAAGGAAATCAAACTGGGTGTATTACTACTAATCGGATAGATTTCAGGTGCACAGAATTGCGAAAATGGTGTGAAGAGATGGGAAGAGCATTTTTAATTTCGGATGTATAAAAAGCAGCGGTCGTATGATACATGAAGATATCAAAAAAGAATTTTTTTCAGGTCAAAAATGCAAGAGACCACAATCAGTCGTGAGTTACGGAGCACCGTGGTTTCCTTGTCGTACCGAACCAAGCTGATTGACTGGAATCCCGAGAGCAGCAAACAATTGTGCTGCAGGACCAGTTGGTGGTTGTAATTCGGAACCTGAAGGGAACGCAGATGCGCATAAATTTCGCATCACGTGGTTCGCCATTTCATCACATGCAACTGCTGTATGATTAGTGCTAGGCTGTTGTTCATAATCATTGCCCAGTTCCAAGTTCTCGTCGCTGTCGTCGGACTCGAAATCCTCCGCCTCGGCAAGCCGTGCATGACGACCATTTTTACGTGGTTTCTGGTATTCAGACGAAAAAGAGAGGCAACAAGGGCATGATGAAGCAGAACAAGAATGATTCTAGTGACGAAAGTAAAACGAGATCGTATAACGCGATACGATAACACTGTTGTATACACCAAAGGAAACTTCGCATAAACCGATTGCGTTTGGTGACCTCATACGAAGAGCAGTTGCAATTTTCGAGGGAAATAGACAGCCGGAAGATTTGTCCTTTAAACTCAACAAAAATCTTGTCACGGTGACAGAAAATTGATTCCACTCGATGCAGGAATACAATGAACATAGCGAATGACGCTTGATTTTCGCATTTAGGGATTAACTACTAACTATTTTATTAGTAGCAGCAGCAGTATTAAATGTGAGCTCCAGCCAGACGTCAGATATCGGCAGAACGGATCGGGGCATGTGAACAACATGAAAAATGCGATTAAGAAAGGACCACTTAAAAGGAAATGGCATAGCGATATAGAGAGTAAAAGGTACTGAAGATTGATTCAATTGAATCGCTACTGAACTGAGGAGAGCCTGATTCTATATTATGTCCGATGGCGTCACGGTCTCGCGGTACACGTGATCAACAAACGAAGAATGCGAGGCAACCTGAACTACGGTCCTGGCAGCTCAGAGTCCAGTCGAGTATGCTTTCTTGAGTAACTGGCATAAACAGTGACAAAACACTCCGGTCCCACCTCGTCTGATACCTTCACTGATCGTATCTCCAAAAGCAAACAACAGAGCTTGCATTAATTGTACTCTATCGGAGAGAGTACTTTTACTGATATGTGAGTCTGAAGTTAACAGTTGGAGAATACAAGGCGATAATACGCAATCACATCAACCGGCACAGATGATTATGTATTCCTCGTATTTACTACCATAAACTTATGGAGTATGATCCGGGCGCGTCTTCGTGTCTCCTTTGAGTTTACCCATATGCATCGTTCTGAAAGAAATGGTGGCAGAAAATGAAGTGGAAATATGTTTACTATCCCAAACATTGTCTGACACAAGTAATTTTTCCAAATTGAACAGCATCGGATCCTCTTAGTCTGAACTCTCGTTTGGATGCATTCCTTTCAATTACACTGGAGCAAGTATAGATCAGTAGCCTATCAAATATTTGTGCGCCATGAGTTACCTTTGTGATCGCCCTTCTATGACGCTACGAACTACAGATGGAGGATTATCCATTAATGCGTATGGGACTCGGAAGATGGATGCAAACGCAGATGTCCTCCAAGCTTTCTATCTAGCTCCGGGAAGCTAGGTATCGTCGCTCGAAGAACCGCAGGTGAAATGCAAATCAGAAATATGACTGAAGAGGAACGAAAGACTCACTTTTCGACCAGACAAGCCCTGTTTGTTGCGCTTCCACAGTCTATACATAGTGGGATCATGACTTCCTAACTGGCTCAGTCGTCCAACATTTGCCGGTTGACCGGCTAGTTCTTGCTCCATCTGTGCATAGAAGCTAGACATTTCCGTTTTGAAGCTATCAGGGGATGATGTGTGAGTCACTCGTGATCGCTGGGGGTTTTGTTGTTCCCGGTGGGGTAATTTGTTCTTTTCCGGTGGTTGAACTGGGTTCAGTGGAGGTTCTTCGTAGTCAAAGTCGCCAGGTTTGGATGTATTCTTTGTAGCCCGTTTAGGAAGCAAATCAAGAATAGTTTGTTTCTCTGGACTCTTGATGAGTGGTGGGGGCTGAATGAAAAGCGGGTAAGAAGGAACTAGGTACTCAGTATCGAGTATAAAGTTCTTTGTACACCACGTGGGTCCGTGGGTTTTTCATGTTTGAATTCACTATGTAAATCTCGTTAACAAGGCATAGAAACCATTATATTGCAATATGATTTGCTGATGTTTAATGGTGAGTACAAAGAGTTAATTATATTATTATACAGAGAACACAGCTTACAAGTCGAACATCTGGTTTCCAATAAAAACAATACTATCCGAAGAATAATAAATATATATTTCCTAATAAGTAGTATGTGTATGACTGCACTACCGGTTTCGCAGTTCTTGGCGCTCGTCGGGCATGTGTATCCGGTAATCTTTCGTCAGTTCATTCATATACTTGTACCCAGGAAGTGTATTTTCGTCAAAATAACCTTGTTTGTAACACCGGGTGACTTTTGAGTTAACAGCTCTTTCAGAGTTAGTCCATAGGAGAATCACTGCTATGATTCAATGTTTTTTAGGTGGCACAGATACTACTAACCGCAACCAACGTCATACTTTTTATAGAATATTTCATGATAAGTAATATGTGAATATATATATATATATATTATCTTTTTCACTGTAGTACTTTTGGTTGTCACAAAAACAATCAGTATGCCTTGATTATATGGATACGGGAGTAAATGTAAAGAGATTTAATTTATCAATTTGACCTCGTGGCTGAGTGGGTACAGTGTACATCCTATAAATGAGCAGGCTGCATCCAAGTGTGGGTGTCGATCCCACAGAGGTAATTAAATATTTTTTCAAAATCTGAATATAATTTACCATAGTGAACTTTTGGTAAAGGGTCTTTGAATCGGGTAGTAGAAGTTGAATCTTAGAAGAGACCGTTGAACTTTGATGGCCCAAACCTTACGACAAACGGAGCAGGGTTTCTTGTTAATGAGCTCTGTCTATTCCAATAAGCAAAGGATATCGTCAACGTATAGCAAACTGTTCTAGAGATAACCGTCTAATACTAATTTCTTTCGCAACAATTAGGGCATTCTATGGTATTTCGTCTATGAGCAAACTGAGCAGACAAGTTGACACTTACGATTGATTTTTTACTTCGCAACTTTTTGATAGATGAGTCTGGAGCGAGACCCTCATCGTCAGAGGACGATGATAGCGGTGCAGAAGCATAGTCTGCGTGTCGATCCGTGTTTGGGCCGTACAAATTAAGCAGTTCGTCCTCACTCGAATCTGAGCTAACCAATGGATTGCAATCGTCTCTTTTAGATAGAGAATCCAGCTTCTTCGAAGTGATCTTCGCCAATTCTCCCGACTGTTTCACGGATTTCGATAAGAAGGAGTCGTCTATGGATTAGGAGAACAATAAAACAAGCCCGATAAGAGAGATTCATATGGTGAAAACGAAATAGGTTGTTTTAGTCTGTTTACCCCGCTCCGAACTCCAGCATACTTTTCTACCCACAGTTTTTCATTTCATCACCACTGATAACCTTTTCCATGAAGACAAAGAGGTCAACTTAGTACGGTGGGCTATGAGATAGACATTTGAGTAAAAAACAAAGTGTGCCCAGTTGAACACGGACAACAATAGGTCCAACTCCAATGAAAGAACAACAATGACGGGAATTCTAGTGAAAACTTTCGTACATTTGTGTAGTCGTTTCCTTTGCCACAATTACGTAATCAGAAAATTCTTGGTTGCTTTGCCTGTTAGCTGTCATTCTATCTGCTTTAATATATTCTCAGAACTGCTTGATGACCTGGCGTTGGATAAATTTCGTTTAGTTCGTTGATTCGATGTTATCTCAATTTCGTTTTCATATTTCTCCGCTTTGAACTAACGCATTATACACGATGCACACACGCATGTCATATATGATCAGGTCAGGTCAGGTTGCATAGGACTGATAGTGGCCACGGACCAATCGAGCGTCCAGAATTCCTTCGGTGGTGTGCTCAAGAGTTTTCATCCATCTCTTCAATTCATCTGTTTCTCTGTCTTTTTAATGTGAAAGCGTTCCATATTGCACAAAACAAGTTACGAACCTAACTTACGTATCCTACTCAGTACCACGTGTTGGGGAACAGTTCTAGCCACCTCCTGTCCAAAGTCATTTTGAAGGCGTGAATACTAGGCAGGTTGACTAGTTCCTTGGGTAGTCTATTCTTTGCAGCGAAAATAGATCGAGGTCCATTAATCTTTCCTGATATGATTTACNCCTCTCTGCCCCTCTACCATTCTTGAAACTAACATCTGCTTTTCTCAAGGCAGACGGCACCTTTTTGGTGCAGAGGTGCCCAGGCTTGGACACAGTATTCTAGATGAGGCCTTACTGTTGCTTTGCACACCGGGACAAAGATTTCCCGTTTTCTACAAGATAGAGCCGACCTAAACCGGACCACGTGGGTCAAATTTAACCCAACCAGCTGGTTTCTTAACATTCATATAAGCGGTAAACTATTCGGTATTTTTATGAAGTATTTCACTTCTTGCCGATGTACGACTACTGGCTTCCAAAAACATTATTTATGCTCTTTGGGAAATCACTTTTTTAAGATCAAACCTGATCCTCTGAATTCGAAGATGTTTATCGGCAACGTTGTGTTCGTCATTCGTATCGAATTATAACATTGCTACTAAAGGGCCTGCTCCGATCGCTCTATTATGTTACCGAATGAGTCATTTACAATAATGGATCTGTGAACGCGTTGACGCATTAGGTTTGTGGTGTCCTAGACTATAGATACAGTCCGCAAGGCTCCATAGTCGGAAACCCATACTGGACCTGACCTGGGGATATTTTTTTCATTTATTACACAGCTGTGGTAAACAGCAGTCGGGGTGGAACCTCATAGTCATGAAGACCAGCTGCTCCGCCATAGGAACCGGCAACCTGAGCCCCGAGAATTGGAGTGGCGAACCACATAAGGCCCCGATAGGTCACATCTTTCTTTAGGCTTGTGATGTGTGCAATAGAATGAAGTACTAAAAGCGAGATAAAACGATACACTGAGCGTTACAAACCACATCCTGGCTGTGGCAGTTGTCACTGGATCGGTCAGGCATCGATGTATTGTGTGCTTAAGACTTTGGCTTGGGCAACATGACAGTTCCACTCTCTAGCAAATCATGAACCGATTTCTTTGTCATAAATATTTTGCTCGGTAAAGTCCGAACACATACCGGAGCATGTGACCTACGTCCGAGACTTCAATACCGAAATATTCCCGTCTACCATTCCACGCGTCAACCAAAACATAAAACACGTTCAATGCTGATCAACCGTGGCTTATGTCATCATCATCGTGCAGCGAAATAAAGTGAGGCGAACTTCACACCATCACGACAAGACTAAACCGTGGCATGGCGTGATGGCTTGCGCGCCTCAACGAACTTGCGAGCTATACAGGATGGCTACTCACAGCCGCAGATCAAATCATGCCTGAAAGGATAACGCGTAGAGGACAGACGAAGATCAGTCTCACAAAGCCTGCTGCACGGGCACATTCTGGTTTCCTTTTCTATTCACACTCGGATCTGGCGAGGTCACCCCAGTAAATAAACACGGTGAGCGGCAGTTTACCGGTCGCCGAAACCCGCTTGATGGATGTAAGAGAGGGGAACTTGGGGCGTTCTCCGGACCGTGGTATAAGTTTTCGCACATAACTGGAGAAACGATCAGTGAAGGTATCAGACGAGGTGGGACCGGAGTGTTTTGTCACTGTTTATGCCAG